TCCAGGGAATGCTTTCAGCTTTGTTGCAAACGTGTCTTTGCTCATAGCTGCAATAAATTAAGCTGAGCCTGTGACTGTAGGCATGAATGAACCAGAAGAGAGCAGAAATATTGCCCATCTCTACCATTAGCTGCAAAACTGATTCTTCTGAGCACGTTACCATGTTTGTCTCCTGCATTTCTTTGTGCAGTAAACTGCATAATCCCTTACTATACAGCTACAGATAGAGATGTTCTTCTAAAGATCATCGTGTCCATAATATTATTACAGCATTTTATTACTTAAAGGTGTAGCACCCCAGTACAAACCTGCTGTACATCCCTCCTCAGTTTGTGCTCGGTTTTTCAGGTAAATCTCACCTCACCAATAGTGCAAGATAAAATGACTTGCATCATGTATCTAGCCATACTCTCCAGTAAAGTTTTAATAATGAGTTCCATCACAAGACAAATAAGCTCTGAAAAACAAACACTTTGCTCACATAAAGACTGAAAAGAGAAACACAAAACAGAATACAAGCTACATGAAAAAGAACATCCTGCCACTTGACCACCAGGCCAAAAAAAGAAAACAAACAAACAAACAACCACCATACCCATCCCCTTCGGCTTTCTGCTCCCATTAGATTAACAGTATCATTTCCTGTGGTTTTCTTAGCACCGTATCCTACATGGACAGTCAGAAAGGAAGGGGCAATAATAAACAGTCCCGGTGACAGTGACTCAGATTGTCACTAGGGATCACAGCCAGGGGTGTTGATAATAACTTGCTATTCCTGTCCCCTGAGGCTCCCCACACGGGCCGGGTCACAGTTACTACTGTGGCAGGGAGAGCTAAATTACACTGTTTAAATGGACCCAGACAAGATGCTGAACACAGAATGCAGAATTAGATACCTGCAGAAGATCCAGTGCCATTCCGGACCTAGGATAACAGCTAACTTTTGTTTAAAAAACAAAGTGCAAAAAGCAGTCAGGCCAGCATTATTGCAAAAATCTTAACCAAAATATGCTGCTATGCAATACTTTAGGCACAACATTTAAAGGATTTCAAATAATAAAAAACCCTTTTATATCAATGCAAAAGAAGGAAGCCTCAGCCCTGAGAAGCAGTCCAACCTCCCCTCGCCAGGCCCTCACTGAGGGCTTGGTCCTTGTCACTCCGTCCTCACCCCACTCCAGACACCTGGGTGAGTTCAGAGCTTCACACAACACAGTCCAGCTGAACCCCCTTCACCTCTTCTAAGGCTAAAAGCAGGGCCTTTGTAAACAGGTTTCAAAGCAGTTTCTTAAAGACCAAGTTCAGCTAATTGTATTCTTTTCTCTACTGACTTTTGACTAAAATGAGTAAATAGGCTCTCCCTGAGAGGATGTATAAAAGCAATACATTTACTAACAGGTATTTTTTCAAACATTTTGAATTCATAACAGAATCCAACACTTGATAAGCTGTGTGTACTTTGTGACTCTGTGCTATGGTCCTCACGGAAGAGATGAGGTATGGATGAGGAACTGAGGAACGGATAATGGGGATAACTCCCTCGTACCAGGCAGCCAGGGAACAGCAAGGCCCGGAGCGTCGGCTCTCCATCCTCGGAGCCATCCCCGACCAATCCCATTAATGTTCTCTCCCCTGCCATTTTCCTACTCGAGTTCGAATTTCTCACTTCCTACTTGTCTCTGTAGCTATTCATCTCTCCGTAACAAAACGCCTGTGGGCTTTTTGTTGTTAGACGAGTTTACATTTTAATAATTGCCTATGCAGAATTACACAAGCTGGGAAGGCAAAGAATTAAGTACAAAACCGACATTCCAAAACAGGGTAAGCTTCCCACTGTAGAAATAACAATGGTAATTAAAGAGGAGTTTTGCAATTAAAATAATGTTTTAACTGAGAAGAAAATATGTTTTTCTGAGAAGAAAATAAATGAAAATTCTCCTGGTGTCACTAACATTCTTGCATCATGAAACAACTGCAAGCTGATGTTCTTAAAGCATCATAGGGGAAAAAAACATACTAAGCCAACAGGCTTTAAAAGCAGATGAATTACCATAAACGAGTTAGCATTCCCCCTGTAAATGTATCAATGCATGCATTGTAAATACTGTCAAAATTTCCCTTTTGTGGTTACCAGTGGCATGCAAATTAAAAACCCCAGAACCTTTCTACGCATACTTTCTGCATTTCAGCTGCATGCATGTAGCTAAACGGTCCCCTTTAACCTATTAATATACTCAATACCTTGTTTATATATGAAGACATTCAGCACACACCATAGGTTTGTTGTTTTTTTTTTTTTCTTAATAAAGAAAATTACTAATGTTGTCTTTCTGTTAGAATAAGATGTGGCTGACAGTCTGTTCCTCTTCTACTACGGACATTATTAAAGAAGGAAAAGACAGTTTTGGTTGACAATGCACTTGACATAGGATCGTGCATGAAAATCATGCAGATACTGATACAGTCAATACCAGCTAGCCTAGGGCCAGGACCCAAAATCACAGTCATATTTGATACATCAATATCTGATTAATATCACATTCTAACTTATCAAAATGAATCTTCTTTCACAACTTTATGGCCACACATGTTTGGGTACAAAAACACATGCAGAATTCCCAATCTCCATTTAGGTTCATAACGGTGCTCATAGAGCTTCATATATTTAGCTGCCTACTTTTAAAATACAGAGACACAAGCTGCTCAGAGAACTTCCCCACAAATATGCCTTTCCTTAATATATCATAGGCAGTGGGGTTTCGATTTATGTTTTTTTTCCCTCCAGCCTACATGGGTTACCTGACCTCAAATAACATCTTCCAACAGAGAAAAATGAAGGAGCGAAGGGAAATGCCTATTTTTCATGCCAATCACACATTCCACTGCCTTTTTCATTTCTGTCTTCTGAAAGGTCTGATTAAACATGATTTCCTACTTGTTCGTAGATGGGTTATTTTGCATGGAGTATTGCTGGCTTAGAAATAAACATCTTGTCAAATATAAAGCAACACAGACTGATTTATTCAGCAATATGGGGATTGTTTCTAGCATGTGATGAACTGAAAAGCTACACGTTGATTTATTAACCTCAGAAAATAAATGTCTTCCTGATTTTAATCATTCTTGTCTATTTTTAACTAAAAGCAGAAATAATGTTTATCTCTAAGGATATATACTTTATTAAATGCAATATATACATGCTTGATCAGCTTATATTTCTGTGAGTGAACTGGAGGCTGTATGTTAGCCCTGGTTTGCAATTATTGTTCATATTCTGTAATATGTTTTAGTTCTGGTTCTGTGGCAGCTGTATGTTAAATAATGCTTTCTTTAGAAAAGAAAAGGCTGAAAAGAAAATACTTTTTGTATTAGGACTCTTAGCACATGGAGCATGTTTGTAGGACAAGCTATAAGATGAAAACATATGTACTTGAATCCAAACAGTTCCTAGGGTTGTTTCTCAATAAGTAAATTCAGTGATGAGAGACAACAGCAGGATGGCACAATTAAAAATCGTCCAAAAAGGATAAGCACTTTGCGTCGAGAGCAACATTTCTTAAATCTGTACATGCTTGCGAACGTGAACAAGGACACTGTACTGTTCACTGTATGTGAACGAGGATACATGCATGCAACAGTCAGCAATCTACAGGAGCATCTATCTAGTGTAATTACTGATGAATAAGGTCTTTAATAAGTGCATTTAGCACCACTCTGCACAGGGAACGACAGCTAGGTAAAGGTCCCAAGAAGAGAATTCAGTTGGTATCCTCAATTTTTGACATTCATTGCTTGTGAAAAATATTAAACTGTCATCATGGGATGGTACAATCCTTTATTTGCCCACTGAGGATAAGACTGGAAAAAAAAAAAAGACAGGCCTGTGGGTATTTGGCTAAACTTAAAGTCATGAGATTGAGCTTTTGCCTAGCTGGCCAAGGCAGATGGTCTCGCACTAACGCCACCCCTGCGAGACACACGGCCGGGCCGAGCGCCAGGGCTGGTCAGCGCTAGGCCCGAGCTCAGGCGCACGGCTGCGCCACAACAGAGCACAGCGTGGCTCTGCAGATACAGACACTCCAATTACACCCGGATGTTTCCAAAGAGGTTTCTTTGGTCAAAGTTTTCCAGAGAGCCTTAAAGTTTGGCTGCCTTCACCAGTGCAGAAAATCACGCTCGTTCTTAGGAGGCACTTCACTTAGTTTGGCTGCTACATCTAAGGCTGCTTTGCGGAAACACAAAACTCCAAGCGGCTGTTTTTAAAATGCTGCTGTCAAAATCTTCTCTAATTTCAACCCCACAACTAAATGATAGAACTCATTACAGGTATTTAAAGAATATTCTTGGATAGTTCTGTAATAAATGATGAAATACTGCTAATTGTTTCCAGGAAAGAAGCTGAACTTTCCTGGCTTTCCCTGCCCAGGTGTAACAGACCTAGCACAGGTTTCATTTTTAGCCTCCACTTATCTAGGCAAAGTTGGATAAAATCATATTCAGATATGACAAGCTCTACCTTACAAACATCTTGTATGCAAAATAACTAAGGAGAAATTCATTACAGCAAAGACCAAGTCCTCTACTTAGGGACGAAAAATCAAACACAAAGTGAGAATAACTGCCAAGACGACAAAACCTATTGACTGGACTTGAGGGTATTGATAGAACGCAGATCAGTGTTATGACACTACTGCAAAACTAAAGGTAAAAGGAAAAAATAAGACCACTGTCATCCCAACATATGCTAACAAAATATTTTATATAAAAGACAACAATTATATCTCTTCGCTAAGCCTTTTTAAGGCTTCAGCTAGGACACGTCCGCCAGTTTTGGCTGCCACACTTTTTAAAAAGCTAAAGACAAGCTGGATAAAGTCCAAAGAGAAGCAGTAGTTTAGAAAACATTACTTATGAAGAGAGGTTGAAGAAACTGGGTTTGTTTAGATGAGTGAAGGGAGAAATGATGACAGGCTTTCATTATGCACAAGATTGCTAGTAAGGGGACAGTATCTCTGTGGCCACTAAAGGAAGGACAAGAAGAAATCAGACCAATTTGCAGTAAGGAAAATGTCATTATGAAAGTATTTCTTTGAGTAGTGAAGGCTGAGCAAACAGCTTACAGAGACTGTGCAATCTTATTGATCAAAGAGTTGATGAGAGCAGGTTGGGCAATCGTCCTTTTGGGGTGGTCACTCTCCTCGAGCACAGTTTATTCCAGAAGACTGGGGTGGAAAATCCTCTGAGATCTCAGGCTGACTTTTCTACTCTTTTCTCACGCATCGATGGTGCCATTAAAGAATCCTGTGCACAATATAGATTTTTTTTACAAAATCAGCTAGTAGCTTGGGTTCTTGTGTGCCCTTGTATGACTCGGATGCCATGTCTCCTATCTCCCCATCCACTGCTGCCCAGCTCTCTGGGACTTCAGCAATCCCAATTTCCCCCCAGATCAGCAACCCCATGTACCCACTCTCCTTCATTTACAGATTGTCTGGGCTAAAGAGAGCAAACATTGGGATGGGGTAAGTGTGGAGGTTTGAAAATAATGGGCAGAGATGGAGCATTTTACTGGCTATATCGCAGTGAGTGGTTCACAGAGTAAGCTGACACCTTTACCTGTGCAATTTGATTATTTGTTATAAAAGAAATAAACTTATTTAAAAAGTTTTTATAAAAAGTTTATTTCTTTATCCAGCTGCCATTTTCCAGGACACTTGTAAAAATTTATTTTCTCTAAGATTTCCCCTTTTTGCCAAATTTGTCCGTGTTTGAACGATAGATTCAAAGCTGGAAGGGAAGGAGCAATCTGTTGCACACACACACACAGACAGACACACAGCATATGCCTCATTTCCTTAAGAAATTAGGCAAAAACTTCTACCCCTAACAACTCCCACATATCCAAACCTGAGATAAAACCATCTGGATGTCTACCTTCCCAACTACTAGCAACTACTGCCAATTATTATGTGATAATCAGACTTAGGTGCATGCTAAAAAAAAAAAGAGAGAAAAAAGGCAGAGAAAGAGACTATAAACCAATATGCTAGGATATGAATTTAAAGCCTGAATGTCCCATAGCAATTTCCTAGTGGATTTTCCTAACACAGAATGAAAGCATCCTGAGGCACAACTGTTGCAGAGAAGGGCTTGTGCTCTTCTTCGCAGACCAAGCCTTCAGCCTTTAAAAGGACCACGAGAATTTTCCCTCACTTAACATCAAACGATTTGGTTTCTCTGATGTTACTGAGAGTTGTCAGATGGTCATATTTCACATGCTCTATGCAGCTCTGTTTAAGTGAATGTAGAGGTGATTGGACAGCGAGAGAAATGAGTTTTATTTTTCAAAGGAAGAGAGGAAGGTGCGTGGTTCAACCCCCTGGTTTATTCCCTGGATGACTCTTTTGCCTCTCTCTCTCCAGGACCCCATCTTTATGCTCCTTGCTGTGCAACGCTGTAGTATCAAACACACTACAATTTTCTACAGTTTTCCTTCCATTCCCAATAGTAATTCTGTGACATAATTTGGGAGTCAACTTTTCCCAGTTCAGTATATGTATCAGGGTATATGAGATTTGAATTCGGAAGACACGAGTCCCAGCGGACTGCACGCTAGATCAAGCACTGTAAGAATCTCATCCTAAAGAATTTTTTTTCATGACGATATTCCTTTTTTATGTGAGCAAGTCGACAGTGCTAATGATGTATATAAAAATACAAGGGCAAGTATTTGCAGTATTCAGCACTGCTTTTAAGAGTCTGGGATAAAGAAAAGGCTAAATGTAATCTGAAATCGGAAAAAAGGTCCCGTATTTCATATGCACTTTGTATCTCATTTCCATTAGACAGCAGCATCCATGTGATTCTCAACGGCGGTGTCTTGAGGACTCTAAGACATAAACTTCATGGATTACTTCACGCTCAAAATAATCTCTCAGCAAGACTTCTTACTTCCCTGACTCCAAGATATTGTTTGTAATAAAAGCTTGCAAATAGCTACATCGGGCAAGTGGGTTATTCAGTCTCCTCCCTCAAGATGAAGCAACCTCTTCCAGCCTGTGTTTGCTGGAAGCAGGTACCCTACATGCACACACTAAGAGCTGCTGCCTCCAAACACTGCAGCTGCTTGAGCAAAACACGGGCGCGATTTAAAGCCTCTTTTTATTTCCCAGCTCAGCAGTGAGGTTCAGTGTTTGCCTCAGCTTGTTAGTCTACACCAAATCCACAACACGGGTGAACTGTAATAGAGAATGCTCTATCAGTTCTTGTGAAAGCAGAAAAAACAGATGGATGACGTGACAACATGGAGGGGATTTAGGAAATTACAACATAAGATTTTTATTTCTATATTCCAGTACCTTCTAGACATTGCAATTTAAGCAACTGACATTTAATAAACCAAGAGCAGCCGCATCACTTCCTAGAACACAGTTCATCTTCCTTCTCAGGAGCGCGTTAGTGTTTATTCACGGCTTCTGTTAGTTATTCCAAACGCATGTCTTCCCCGCTGCGTAATGACAGCACACTCGTTTTGGTAGTATACGTTACTCACTTGCTCTCTCTCATGACTCCCAGCAACAGCCAAATTATGTATTGCAGAGATCTTTCAATGCCCTCTTCCCCAGTGTTTAAAAGAAATTATGCAATGTACGTAATGACATTATTAAGAATGCTGTATTGAACCCATGATTAATTGATTGCTTCTGCCTAATAAAAGGAATAATAGAGCAGGGTAAAGGTTTGTATATGAGGCTTGTGTTATAGCATTCTGTTAGAATGTGCTGTCATTTTGTGGTAAAATGTATATGTTCTGTCTTGTGCGTAACCCAGCTTTGCCTGATTGGGTAATATGAAGTTAATGCAGCAGACAACAGATGCACTGTTTGATGGGTGAACATGAACTCAGTGAGTGTCTTCCTTCCTCCAGCAGTGGTAATTCACACAGCAGTGTTAGGCTTTGCAGCTGCTTGTTTATAACACACAAAAACGTACCGGGACTGCTCAGAGATGCAAATCAGCAGCTTTCATTCACTCCATGGGATCAAAGGTGCCATACGAAAATGTATAAACATCCATGCTAAGGCTCTCCTCCACGGAGCAGAACATCTGAAAATGCCCAACTGCGGGAATGTGCTGAATTCTAATGAAAACTGAGGAAATTCTACCATGCACTGAATCTGAATGCAGGCCCCAACGATGCACTGACTAGGAATACGTTGCTGAGGCAGAGACTAGGTGCCTATATCTAAGGTTACCTTTGATCCATTGCTGACAAAGGAAGGACATGAAAAAGCCTTTTGATAGAGAATACCTTTTCGGTTTTTTTCTCTCTCTTTATTCCTTCATAGACAAAGCAAACTGAGCTGAACTTTGAAGTACAGTAAATGTTTCTAGTTTCAAGGAATAGAGTGGGGGAGTATTTTTGCTTCATACTTTTTGATAAATTCTATTCTTCTTAAAAAGAAGTGAATTTGCCTACTATGGAAAAAAGCCCAAAAATAATTAATTGGTTTTATTTTTTTCCTAGTATAACAATAGTACAGTCCTATACACAAGCCTTGTAGGAAAACCCCATCACTACAGTTAATTCCTTTAGAAAACATTCTTCTCATCAGACTGGACTACCTTTTGCCAACATCAAAATCTGACTGGTGGCAAACCAATATGCTGCACAAACAGGATAATTCAGAAGAAATTCAACTTCCAAAATCCCTGCTTATTAAGTAGATAGGACTTTGCTCCATAAGCTAGTCATTAATCAAATATATGCAATTTTCCACACGTTTGATTGATAGGTAAGTAGATCTGCATTTGATGCAAGAATTTCAAAGACAAAAATAACCAATTTGATTTTTGTATGCGGACAGCCTGCAGATGTGATTTGCACAGGAACCCTACGTGCAAACAGGGAACACCAATAAGCAGGATATCCTTGTCAAACACACACACACCAACATATACTGGGAAAACAATCACTTTTAATTTACTTAATCAGTTTTAATTTACTTATTTGACATAAAGAGCCCTTTTCACGGAGATGACAGATGTGCTGAACAATCATCTGCTGGATTCCACACCGTGTGGAAGGGTTATGCCTTGCATTCAAACCCCACCCCTCCTACAGGTGTATCTGTATCCGTTGGGAACTAACCACTCCCCACAGCGTAACAAATACCAACAGAAAACACACCACCAGAAGCGATAAATGTGAGATCCTTCTCACCTGACTTCAGTCCCTGAACTCAGCTAGTCACCTGTTTCTTCCTAGAGGCAGAGAGCACCTCTAGGAGGGGATTCATCTGACCTAAAACAAATGGGATCCATAGACTTCTGAGAAGGTGTCGCTCTATTTTGTAGAGGAAGGACCTAAATAACAAGCTTAGAAGGTGGGATGATGAATCACTCAAAATAAGTCAAAGGAATTCTATGTATCATAAAAACTTTAGAGCTTTGTTAAGTTGTATAATAATAACTCTATATCTTCAGTGCCGTTTCCTTAAGTTCATGTTTTATATGTTTGTACATCACATACTTTCTACTTTCAGCAAAAGATATGCTCTATCCTTTTAAAGTTTTCCTTCAATGTGACTAAAACTTGATGCACATCAGATAATCTGGTGAGAATTGCTTTAATACCATACATCACAGTAGCACTGTTTCAATGTCTATCACCTGTTTTATTAACCCTAAATTACAGCTTCAGCATAGATTGTTGGGATTCCAATTTCTACGTATGTAACTGTAAACACACGAAAAAAAATCCCCTGTGTGCTAGGAGATTATACTATAAAGCGAGAGCTCTTATCAGGAGAGAAATCCATTATTTTTGTGATGTCAATTTTACTTTCTGTTGTTGTTGTTTGTCTTAGACTGAAACCATACCTTCTGCACTGGTTTACTTCAAAGAAAATTGCAGTCTCAAATACAGTCATACTAACAAGCTGCAGAGTTGAACATCTATTTGGCAGTGAATATTCAATGAAAAAGGATCCCAAAATAAAGAGGAAGAAGGATGTAGCTCCAACATTCACAATAAGAGAGTGACCAATGGATTGATCCTGTAAAACACCCAGGCACTCCTGGGATCCAGCTACTGCCTTCAGTACAGCTCACCTGCCTAAATGCACCCAAATGGCAACAGGTAAAATCCACTAAAACTCAGTTGTCTCTTATGTGCTAGAATAAAGCTAAGTGTCATTCCTGACATTAGGTTTATGGTGTACATCAGGATTAGCTCCACAGAGATCAACAGGGCTAGGTGTACACTGTGATGAGAAGCTAAATCTGGAGGGGAAGAACATGCTAAAATTAGGGGCTGAATTTGGCCCCCATCACTGTGGTGCATTTCTGCATAATAGGATACTGGGTGTGAGAAGAGGTAATAAGCTGCTTGCTAGAGATTCTTTAAGACCTATAGATGGGTCCAAATTACAGTATTTATTTGTTTGTTTTAATTCTGAGGAAGTGTGAGGGTTTCTGTTTGGGCTCCAATGGATTATACGGGCGTACCACGTAGCCCATTTTCAGAATGACAGTTCAGTGAGGTTGCAGGGGTTTCTCAGTAAGAGGGTCCTCCTTTCACCACAATGTGACATCAGACTGTGGATTCATTCACACACCTCTGGATGAAATAAGAGGTAAGGACTGGGCATTACTTTTATTTTTTCAGTGGACAGTTCCTGCCTGCCTGCCCCAGCTTCCTCCTGCAATGCAAAGACCCGTCTGAAGTTCTCTCACGGCCCTGCAAATCTCTCCTCTGCCTATTTCCATGTGAAGAAAGGCTTGATAGTCACATTCTGGGCTTATATATAAATGTCCCTTTGACTTGTCGCCGTGACACAATTATCAGAGAAAGTAATGAGTGTAAAAAGGGTTCTGTGGGCTGCGTATGAGGAACGTACAGCTACCTGTCAATTAACTGTGTCCAGGTAGGATGAGTCGGTCTCGCTTTCTTGCTGTCTCTATTTTTTTTTTTTCCTGGCAGGGCTCTCCCCATCCCTCTCTCTCAGCTTGTAATCTTGAGGGATCGGAGTTCCTTCCCGCATGCACACAATAAAAGGGCCTTTCTCAGATGGCACGCGCGCTCCCTTAAATCCAAAAGGCTGACGATTCCTTTCGCTTTACCTAACACACGCAGTGGCGTGGCGGTCCCGTTCACGCAGGCAGGGATTTCCCGCGGCGTTTCCCGGGATAACGAGCGGCACTGCCGCCTCGCACGGGAGCCGGCACCAGCCGCGTGCCCCACAGCGGGGCCGCGCTACCCTCGTGGCCGCTGCTGCCGCACGCGCGCGGCCCACGGGGCTCGAGGCCTCGCGCTGACGCTCCGCTTTTCCGCCAAGCACAAAAAGCCTGGGGAATGCGGAGGAATTAACCATTTTTGGAATTCGATGTCTTCAAAACAACGTGACGCACTTGGGTCGCTCTCGGCCAGCAGCACGCGGGGAACCTGCCCCTCGCACCGGGGAAAGCTCCCTTGGCACGCGGCACAGAGGTGACGGCGGCGGGGGG